CCATCTGGAAAAGCTAAAGTTTTCTTGTTCAATTCACTTTACGGGATGGAGCATTTCTGTTGGTTTACCAAAATAGGCAACAAGTGCAAGTCCTGGTCTTAGAAGTTGGCTGCTCTTTTGTTCTTGCAGTGTGAACTGAACATCTGTAAAGAAGAGTGCAATATCCCCTGTGTGTTTCAACAGATTGTCTTGACTTCAAGGATCATGAGATTTCAAAGATTAACAAAAAAATGATGGCAACATTCTTTGCATGGATCAGATGATGAGAAACTAAGTAGCAATTTGGGAGAGACAGAGAGAGAGAGCCTGAGAGAGAGAGAGAGAGAGAGAGAGAGAGAGAGAGAGAGAGAGCCTAAAACATTTTCACATAAATAGAATTTTAAGGATTTGAAACAGCAGGCCCTGTACCTTGCCAGTCTATCTAACCTACTACAGGATTTTATCTTCAGATTACTGCAGTTGCAAAGGCAACATGAGGCTTTCAAAACTTTCGTAAGGTGCAGTGTTTCTGGATAAGCTGACTTGCACAGAAATTGCACTTGTGCCTGATTTTGGCCAAGCAGTTTTAGCAATCCAGCAAAAATGCTTGATTCTGCAAAGCTAATTGCAAAACAAAACCTTAACTTCTCCAAATGGAAAACAAGATGTGCAAATACACTGAAGGATAGAAACACATTGTTTTCTTCAGTACTGCTCCACAGTTTCAGAACAACAGTTTCATGAATATTATGTATGTGCAGTAAACATTTATGACCATATTTAGGTCCAAGCAGCACGAGGTATTTTGTGTTGGTAGTTGTTGATGAGTAACATGAATAGGAATCCTTTATATCTGAGGTATCCATAGTAACTAAGTAGGCCCCATTTCCATTGTGCTTATTAACTTCCAACCTGCTTACCAGGCTTAGACTCTTTGGATTCCAGGATTCCTAATTTATATACCCCTCCTCCACCCTGAGTGGTAAATGCTTTTCAGAAAAAGCAAACTTAAGTAAGGGATTTTAAGAGATTTGAAGAATGCCATATAGCAGCCAAGATGATAATTTTTGGCCCAACTGTTGACTTAATGAAGTAGTGTTACACAGACAAAATCATGTAGTCAGAAACAGAATTGTGATTTATTAGAAAAATAGTAGTATTGTCTGGTCCTTCCTTGATTTTTTTTTTTTTAATAGAGGGTCTTGCTACGCAGTTCAGGCTAGTCTTGGGCTCATTTTGTAGCCCAGTCTGATCTCAAACTTGCAACAATCCGCCTGCCTCAACCTCCCAAGTGCTGGGATCACAGGAGTGCGCCACCACACCCAGCCCTCCTTGAAATCTTTTATTATGTTACAGACACCATTATTTGCCCTTCTATGGATAACACATTCATTGTGTCTTTGGAAGGGAACACCAACTTTGCTATTAATAGTCATGATTTTTCTTAATACAGGATTTAGTTAACAGCAGAAAAATGATTTGAATACATGACAGTACCATAAATATTGTGTCAAGGTGGGAAGTTACAAATGATAGAGTATAAATTTGCATATCATAAGAATCATATCAAATATATAGTCATAATTGTTGGGTTCAAGTAGAGAGGACCCCCGTTACAATAGAGATAAAAACAATATATAAACACAGGGGAAAAAATGGAAACTAAGAATGACCCTTAGAAAGACAACTCTTCACTCACAGGGCAGCATGTATCAAGACCTTGCTGACGCTAGGTAGACCCCGTGCTAAGCACTGAAGAAGCACAGATGAGCTATTTCAGATCTCTATTCTCATGACTTACTCTAGAGAAGAATGATAAATATTTGCCTACTTGTTTAAAAAAATGAGGGTGATATGATAATTTCAAGCAGCGATAAGAGCTAAGAAGAAAAGTGAACCCAATTAATATGATAGACAGTGTGGGGGTAGAGGCTGCCATTTATTTATTTACTTTTGCAGTGCTAAAGATTAAACCTAGGACTTGAGGCACACTAGGCAAGTGCTCAGCCTCTAAGTCACCCCCCACCCCGTTCCTACAGATGGATTAGTTAGGGTTGGGGTGATGGAGAATGTCATGGGTGAATCTAGCACCAGCCTTCCAGTGGTGGTCTATTGGGTGATGCAAGCAGCAAATGGGAGGAGAGAGTTAGGAGCTGGGTCTTTCTTCCCCATGGTCAGGACAAATGCGACTAGGTAGAAAACTCAGAGAAATCTGCGCATGCCATGAAGTGGAAAGGAAGAGAAGAAATCATTCATTATATCTGTTCTTTTTGTAACACCTATTGAGCACCTGTAAGCTTCAAAGTGAAATAAATATTACTGCTCCCCTCTTCTTCCAACTCACATTCTCCATCACCAATTTTAGAAGGCAATCAAAGCCATTATTAATGCAGTGATTCTTTTTCTGAGCAGTGTTAACTTTAAAAAAAAATTGCATGTAGCCAACATGTATCAACCCTGTTTGGCAAAATGTGTCTCAACTCATCTGAGTCAAATTGTTCTTTGCTGTTGTCATGTCTGCAGAGATAAGAGAGAAGGGTAGGGGGAATAGGGTCTGGGTTTTTGGTTTATAAATGCTGTAAAAGAACCGAGGAGAAAAGAGAGAAGGAGAAAGAATAGAACAGAAAAAAGAGGTCCATGAGGCTCAACTAAGTTACCTTACAAGCTCACATGACCAAAAAAAGTTGACACTGAATTTAGGGCCTGCTGTTCTCATTAACTAGTATTTCGGGGTGTAGCTAATGACGTGAGCTGTGTAGAAATTGCCACTTGTCCTATATTTACACCAAGCAGAAGTTGACCTCATGGGCACTGAATTATTTTTTACTCTGTCGAGAACAGTTTTGCTTTTGGATACAAAGGTAGCATGGAAATCAGAGGCCTTCTCAGGAAGGGAAACTTCTAGGAACTTAATCTGTGAGGGGGAAAGGCAAAAGCCAGCACACTTGGAGTGGTGTCTGAGCCTGAGTCTTCAAAATTGGCTGGCCCATCCTGCCTTAGTGAGTGTTTATTACATTTGAGCTACAGAACTAATGACTGTGAAAAAACATGAAGGGACAAGAAGACGGAAATCCTATCCTCATGACACTGACAAATCAGCTGGACCGAATACACATGAATCAACTGAAGACTATTTCTGCCAAGTTCAAATTGTGCAAAAGTGGAGGATATGAGTCTTGTGGGGACACAGAGTTAACAGCATGAGCTGTTAGTCAGTGAGGCTGTCTGCAGAAGAAGAATTTTGGGTGGAGTTTTGAAGGAAATGAGGAAATGAAGGAATATATGAATTAATATACTTAATAGTTGTCACCTGTACAAGACTGAAACCACCATGAGGGCCAGGATGTAGCTTTTCTTGTTTACACATTTCTAGAATTACCTTATTTCTTGTGCGATTCTTTACAGCAGTATTTAGAGTGTGTGTGGCTGGACTGGGCACCATGTTGCTAAACTGACTAAAGTTTGGTTTTGCATGCTGCCCCCAGCCACAGAATAAATGGATGCTGTATCACAAGTACAGTACAAGTAAAGTTAGTAGACCTGTCTCTTTTGTCTTCTGTCACCTCTTTTCTGAGTTCTTTATCTTTCCAACGTTGCTCACAAAAGAATCTGCATCTAAGAAAGAACAAATATCCAGTAACCTGTGGCTGGCCTCACCAAAAAGGGAGAATCTGTTTAATGCCTCTGGAATTGCTAGGACCTCTCACGACAGTGAGACCTCTGGAGAAAACTAGTGGTTAAATATCTAAGTCCTTTGAGTTCGAAGTTTTTTTTTTTTTTTTTTTTTTTTTTTCTTTTTTTCACTTGCAGTACCGATAAGTGCCTGATCTTGCAGTATTGTGTTTCTGACTTCTTTGTTTCGGCTTCATTTTTCCCCCCAAAATGCCATTTTCATTTGTTCTTTGAGCTCAGGACATGTCAAAGATCTTCTCTTAGTGGTGGGTGGTTTTATTGAGCCCAAGGAGATTGAAAACTTGAATATCGTCCTGGCAGCAGTCCATTAGCAAGAGGGCAGGGGTTGAGTTACCCTCCAGTTTTGACTGTAGGAAACAGGAAAGAAAGAACTGAAGCTGTGAGACGCCTCATTTGGGTCCAAAGCACTTTACCCTAAATATGAAGAAAAGAATTAAAGCAATCATTTTCAAAATGTGTTGAGAGTTCTTTATAGGTAACTGCTATTTTTTCCACAGTTCTCCTCCAGTTTAGTACATTGTAAAGGAAGCTTATGGAATGAAAAAATGGAACAAAAACCCAGGTACAATTGGTCTTGCTAGTCTTTAAAAAAGCCTCACTAGCGGCAATTTTGGCAAGTTATCAACTACGTGATTAGAGGTTTTTATTAAATATTCTTAATAGAAAAATGGAATCGTGGCATTTTGAGTTTGAAAAGTAAATCCAAACAAAATTATAGACAATACAATATTATAAATTCTAATGCTGCCTCAGGCTATCAACACATTACATACAAGTGTCTGATAGATTACCATTAATTTTTTGTACCATTATGTGTAAAAAGATTGGCATTGCTAAACTGCTACCTTCCCTTGACTAGTGAGGCAGGAATATTCATTTATGAAAAGATCAGTGAGAATGCATCTAGAACCTATTTTCTAAAGAGTTGACTCACTCAAGTCCACATCAAGTAAGCACTGATTAATTTTTTGTAGGGTTTCCTGAGATAAATTAGTTTGAGTTTGCATCATTTGAAATAAGAGTACTGAGACCCAGGTGTGGTGGTGCACTCCTGTATTCCCAGCACTTTGGAGGCTGAGGCAGGAGAATGATTTGCAAATTCAAGAACAGCCTGGGCTACAAAGTGAGCCCAAGGTCATCGTAAACTGCATAGTGAGACCCTGTCTCAAAAAGACCAAAAAGAAGAAGGAGAAGAAGGAGAAGAAGGAGAAGGAAAAGAAGGAGAAGGAGAAGGAAAAGGAGGAGAAGGAGAAGGAGAAGGAGGAGAAGGAGAAGGAGAAGGAGAAGAAAAGAAGAAGAAGAAGAAGAAGAAGAAGAAGAAGAAGAAGAAGAAGAAGAAGAAGAAACAAAGTACTGTACTGTCATCATCATGGTGTGCATTCATAAATCAAAGCAAAATTAGAAAAGAAAGATAGTGGATCACTGACAGAAAGAGTGGACAGCATTAAGTAGGAAATGGAAATGATACATAATGGTTATATTTCAGGGACCTTATCCAGCAGATGGGACCCATCATAGATCCTAAAGTTATGCTTGATAGATTGCTGGATCCTCAAATGTAATTGGATGTCATAGTTCATATTCCCCTCTTGCTTGTGAAGTTACCAGGGAGAAGTAGAAGAGGGTGCTGTCAATAAGGCCATCTCCAGATCCCCAGGGCATAGTGACCAAGCTTACATTGCACTCTTTCTCACAAAATAGGATGGAGATTGCTGCTCTTTTTTTGTATTGAAGAAAGCATGATCAAGATATGATTTGCATCTCATGTATATACTATTTTAAGATCATTTCACAATATAGGTAATATAGATAGGGGTATTTAGGCAGGGTTCTATTTAATACTCTTAATTGACACCTCTATTACCTTTAAAAACATTTTATTGGCAGTTTATCAATAAAATAATTGAATCTCAGAAAATTTAAATAACTTGCAAAGATACTCAAGCTAGAATGTAATCAATCTGAATCTTGATCTCAGGTCTATCTATCTCCAAGGTCTATGGTTTCCTGAACCTCACAGTCAAAGAAACTAGAAAAATTATGGAAATGTGAACAATTTTGAAGTCTGTCTTACATTGAATTTAGGATTAAAAACATTGTAATTTTTTTTAGTTGTATTTTAAAAAAAAGCATAGGGCTTAATATTCAAGTTATATTGAGTTTGAGCACTTAATATGTGCATTTAGGTCAGCAATGTAAGTTTGTGTGTAACTAAATAAAATATTGCTTCTTAGCTTCAAGAACTTAAAATCTAGGAGTAAATCTGACTCCACATCCAACTTCTGTTTATTTTTAACTACGTGTTAGGTGCTATGGGAAGTATGTTATAAACATTATTTTACTTTATTATTTAATTCTTAAATGCTAATAAAGCAGGGGTTTTATAAATATTTTTATCAAAATGTAAGCAATAAACAACCATCTATGAGGCCTTTATTCCAGCTAAATAAAATAAAGAAGGCTTTACAGAGAGACAAATGGCACTTCAGATGAGTCTCACAGAATGACAGCTGGAAGAGGGATTCCCGGAGAAGGCCTTTCCACAAAGTAGGAGCCAATCGATGAAGGCAGGGAGGTACAGAGTGTGCTCAAGTCCCAGCAGCTCACTTGTGCAGGAGAGTATAAATTAGGACCAGAGAATGGACAAACCTAAACAATAAGTAGTAACAAGTCATGAGGGCCATGTACAGTACACACAACACTCAACATGCGAAATGGAAAACTTTTGATTTCTAAGTTTTCTAAGATAGAGAACGACCAGTCAAGCATTACTGGATTTAGAGAAACTGTAGGCTAATAATCATGCTCTAATGACTGATGCAGCATAGTTATTTGTTGTGTCAATTTTCTTCTTTAGAAACTGGCTTTCAAAATATTTATTTATGAGCACAGTGGCACATACCTGTAGTCTCAGCTTCTCAGGAGGTTGAGGTAGAAAGATCACGAGTCTAGGCCAGCCAGGGCAATATGGAAGACCTCACCATATATAACCATATGGGCTTGTATAGTTTTAAATGTTCAAAAAATAAAAAGAACAATAATATATTGTGGTACAAAAGTTTCATGCGATTCAGTTCAATATTGACTCGTGAAGTTGCATGGGACCCACATGATTCCATTTGGTCACATGTTGCCTGTGGTCAATCTTGTACAGGAGCAGAAACAAGCATCTGCCATAGAGATCATGTAGCCAACAAATCCCCAAATATTTGCTGTCTGACCCTTGGCAGAAAAAGAAATTGTTGGTCCCTACCTTAGTGTGTCTTTCTGGTCCTCTTAATGCATTTTTATGGGTTTCTTCCTTCTGGGGTATGAATGGAAAATGAATATAAGTTCACTAATAGAAGCAAGATACCTTTAGCTCTGCTTCCAGGTATTACTTTGTATGTTCCATATCTAGATTCTCTAAGCTAAAAAATAATGAGGTAGAATGTGTTTTATCCATCATCACATCCCTTCCCTCTGGGGATTCTGAAAGTGTGGTTTTCCTTTTAGGTTGGAGAACGACATTCCTTTCTTAAAACACACTCCATTTTTAGTTCCCACTCAGGTAGTCAGTTCCACAGAACAGTGTCAAATGAACTGCTGAGGATCTTTTAAACATCTCTTGCAGTTTGATTTCTCCCCATACCTCATCCAGTGAATTCTCATCTGGAGGGCTCAGGAATAATGGAATGACCTTTAATTAGAAACCATTTCTAATTTCCTATTAGATGTGCTAATACCACAGTTGCCTTATGTGTGTGGCAAAGCTGTACCACAGCATCAGAGCTTTCTTGGGCTTACAGGGGTATATGCACACATTCCCTCCCCAGATCCGAGAACCAAAATTTGATGCAATGTTTCTTCTCTTGTCAGAGATCAGAGAACTTAGCAAGTCTGGTACGCTTTTCTCTCTGTGCCCACCCTCTGCCCAGGTGCATCTCCAGGGTTAGACCACTCTGAGTTAACTGAGTTAATTTCCTGACCTGTATGTTTCAATTGCTATCTGCATTTCTATGACTACACTTTTAGCTTAAGACTACATCATTTACTTGATCATTCTTGATTCTCTCCTTCCTCCAGTTTCAGTCCTTGCAAAGTCCTCTCATTTGTTGCTCTCAAATACCTTTTGAGTTTTCTTTCTTCCAAGCTCTCTGCTTCTTTGCACAGGTCCTTATCACCCCTCACTTGAACTATTTGCACTTCTACTAGTTTCCTTGCTGTCTCTAGTCTTTGTCCGGCCCACCTCCAATATCACTGCAAGTGTTATCTTACCTTATCACTCCGGTGCTAGAAACTTTCAATGGCTACATTCATCAAGGGATAAAGTCCAAACTTTTTAGGTTGATTATAGCATTAGGTCTAGTTTCTGATCTTACCTCTTACCATTCATTAGTTAAAGTCTTTACTTCTTTTAGTATAGAAAGATCAGTTTTTCTGCAATTTAGATTGGTTCTTTCATACTTACACTCATTGGCACATTCTTTTCATTTTTCTCTATTTGATCAAACTGCAGTCTCTCGCCCTAGCTCTAATTCAAATAATGATATTCTCCTTTTCAGAATTAGTTATCACCTTTTTTTTTTACTCTGTAGGAGTTTGCACATACTTGGATAGAGCATATTTGGCAATATATGGTAATCCTTTATTTATATATTTTCATACATAGAGTAATGCTTTACCTATATTTTTATTTTCAGTGCACAGTGTCTGTCTTATAAAAAGCACTCAAGGGGCTGGGGATTTAGCTCAGCGGCATAAGTGCCTTCCTTGCAAGCAGGCAGTTGTGAGTTCGATCCCGGTACCGAAAGAAAAAGACAAAAAAAAAAAAAAAAAAAAAAAGCATTCAAGGAATGAACCTGAACAAGCTATGTGTCTGCATTTGCACCAGGAGCTCTCTAGATTCTGTTGCCAGGCTTGTTAGAAATGAATGCTGCTGTGAGAACCTTGTAGGCAACTATTGGCAGCAGAGGTTTCTTATGGCTATGAGATGATTACCCATGAACTTAGGTGTGCCTTTGGTGTTGTGGTTGCAGGACAAGATTTACTTTAATAGACTAGAATTAAGAGAAGAGAGAGTTCCAATTTCCCTGTTAGTGAATCACATATATTAGGGATAATGTTTAATTTCCCATTTAAAAACTAAAAGACCTTCATAAAAAGTCAGTGGCTTGTTAGACATAAAATATGTATGTATAGATGTATAATGTGAACATATTATATATGTGTGCATAAACATGTATTTACATTCAACCTTATCACCTGTTACATTTCATTATATCCATCCTCATAAAATTATTTATGTCTAATGAATTGAGGCCTGTTTTCAAGTTTTGCTGTGGTATTTACTCATGCTTCTATGACAATTATAAAACAGAAACATTAGATGACTAACATGTAGGATAGCCATAGGCTTTAATATATGGTCTATAATTTTATGTAATAGCAAAATTTCATAAATTCCCAAATTCCAAAAAGTACACTACAAAAGATAAGTTCGAGATATGTCAATTAATTGCAAACAATACACGAGATTTCATTTTGTATTTTACTGTATAGAATTTTATATTACACTGAATATTTAAAGAATATTTGCTGAATGAATGAAGTGACAATAAAATAGAGGCAAATTTGTGATACTTTCTCAGTTTTCCTTTCTTCATTATGGACTAAACTGGAGTTGAGTATTGGGCTATATATACTGATACCAGGTAGTTGTGATTATGAATAAGAACTTATCTTTTATATGCTCAAAGATCTCATTTATTATCTATGAAAATAAAGCATTTGTATATTTACAACCAAATTAGTACAAATGATATAAATAGAATTGATACATAAAATGTAAATAGTAAGTATATAACTTATGTTTATAACTTAAGGCTATGTGAAGTATACTGTTTCGTTTAAGGTTTTGTCAGCCCTGCTCAGAAGCCTTAAGTACAACTGTATGTCCAAGTCTTTAATGGAGTGAGGTGAAACTCAAGAAATATTAATCATCTTCATTGGGATCGAGTTGCTCTCATACAATAAAGCCAGGAAACCATCCGAGGATGTATTTCCTTCTAGATGTTTTAGAGCCTTTTTCAGGAGGAGGAATGGGGTGCCAGTAGGTGTCTTGCTGGCTTTGTTGGAGCAGCGTACAAGTAATTTATGCATATTTGTTCTTTGCTCTGATAATCATATAAAGCAGGCTGCCCTGGTTTACATCTGGAACCTCCTTATGGATTGGCAACATATCTTTTTTTAATATAAAAGATATGTAAATATCTTTGTAAATATAAATGATTGGGATTCTAACCCATCTATTTTTCGGTATCTCCATATGAATTTTAGTATTTCACAAGAGTACTTAGAAATACTGGTAGAGTTTAAGTGGTTGGCCCCCATGTCCTTTTGTCCTTTCCCTTTTCCTGTTTGGAGGTCCATCTCAGCAAAGTAGAGTCTCACCTTGAAACAGACATAGCAGCCAAGGATTTAGCCCAGTGGCATAAGCGCCTGCCTGGCAAGCGTGAGGTTGTGAGTTGATCCCCGGTACCCACCCCCCAAAAAAATAATAATAAAAATGAAACTTTTTAATAGCTTTTTCTACAAGTTTTTCCACAGCAAGAAAACTGGAATGTCACAGTTTGTATGTACACAATTTTACATTCTCATCTCCCTTTATCCAATCAGAAAAGTTCCTCTCCCACCCCATAATACTTTTAGAATTACTGTGTAGTTTGACACTATAGCCTAGTGGGTTTGGTTTTGTTTAAATCACAAATGTAAACAGTAATAAGGGATGCATATATTTAATAGTATTTAATAATTCACACAAGAAGTAATTCTTCCAACGTAGTCCCAAATTGAATTTTTACTCTTTCAAGCTAATCCTAGAAAATACACTCCAAGTAGCTCAGTGCTTTCTTGTTTTGATGACTTTACTGGCAGTAGTAGCAGATGTATTTTGTTTAATTAAACAATTGTGTTCTTAGATAAGTTGTATTATTCTAAAGTGATCTATTTACAAGCACTAGAACATGGAATTGATAATAACCCTTAGTTTACTTCAAAGTCGATCCAAAGACTCATTCATGCAGATTTTTGTATTTAGATTTTTTATGACACTAATAATTGGTCTACTTTCTGCGAGTCTGTTCTAACAATTTAGGTGATTTTTTAATTTATTTATTTGGTACCAGCGATTGAACTCATGACCTAGTGCTTGCAAGGCAGACGCTAATGGCACTGAGCTAATCTCCAGCCCCCTTGAAGTATTTTTATTGTCATTAGAAAATAGATGAAGTTAAGTCAGTGGAAGACTAGCTCATCTCTGCTACTCTAGCTGGTTTTAGAATCTTTGATTTAAAAAAAAATGGTTAAGGGAAGAAATAGAACCACATTCATGTAAGGCTGATCTTGGTTGTCATTATCATGGAAATTGATGAGTTTTCTCTTCCATTTTCTTTAGTTTGCAACAAAACTATTTCTTTGGAAAGTCTTTATTTTTCTCCCAAACTTGTTATGCAGGAATGCAGTAGCTCTAAATCAGTCTATCATATGAATAAACGTTTACAGATAATTAACTTGGCTTCTCTTGTTGCCTTACTATATATTTAAGTAGTTTTTTTAAAAAAAATAACAATTTCTGTACCATGGTTTTCATAGATTGGATTCCAAGTTGCTATAAATTCAATCATTTATACTTAAATATTTTCAGGAGTTTTTTCTTAGAAAGTTACACTATGCACTCATCTCCATCATAGTATAAAGAGTATTTAAAATCACTTAAATATATTAAAATTTGACAGAAAATTATTTACTTGATAATTTTATATTTGCCAGTAAGTTACTTTGCATAAAATAATGTTAACTGCTTCCACTTTCCCCTTCAGTTTGGTGTATACACAACTACATATTCAGTTTTTCAGAAACCTGAATCCTACGTTCCCAGAAAGGGTTTCCAAATTGCTAATTTTCAATTTCTTTTAGTGTCGTTATTAAGTAGGTAAAACAGTTTGCAACCTGACTTTTAAAACTATAAAACCACTTCACCATTCAAAACCAAACTTTCTCAATCCAGTTTTCACCTAGGAACAAGCACTTTATCATTTATAAACCTTGGGAACTGAAGTTTCATATTGAACTTTCCAGGCAACCTTCAAGATAGCTACATGGCTAAGGCACATTAAATTAAGTAGCGCACTACCACGTATATTCAGTATTTGCCACTGAAGGAAAAGAACTTGTTCTAACTCTTGTGCAGGCCAGCTGGCTGATGGACGGGTGACAGGTGAGTGGCAACCAGAGTGCTGGAGCACGTTGGGTTGGAGGACTATGAATGTTTGAGGGTGAAGCAAGCTTGCACTCTGGGCTCTGGCTTGCTGGTTCATTCTTTGTAGTCTTGGTTGTGAAGTGATTTATGGGCACTGTAAGGGCCATACATCACCTTCCTGGTTGGCTTTGTTGACACCTTGTCACATTCTTGTGGGCTTGTGGAATTCATTGTTCTTGTTTGAACTGATAAGAACAAGAAAAAGGAAAGAAAGGGGAAAAAAGAAATACCAAGAAAAAGAGTGATTTCTTATGAAACCTTGGGAAAAGTCAAGGGGTGTTAACGTTGACTTGGGGCAGCAGAACTGTGGCCTCCCAAGCAGTGCCACCACCTCTGTATCTGCCTGTGTCTTCTGCTTCAGGAAGCTTCAGGAAGCTCTCGGATGTGCTGGCTGAAGTTGTATTTGTTCTCTGCAAGTAGTCTTCTTATTTTTTTTTTTTTTTTTTTGCTGGAGTGGTTCTGCAGCAAGGAGCTTTGGGAAAAGTAAAGGGGGACCTTCAAGATAGAATGGCTTAGAGAAGATTCCAAATGAAGGTCAGAGGATCACCAGGGAAAAGTAAAACACATGGTGACTTTTGATGTGAGCCGGCCTATTCAAAGTCCACTCTGCTGTACAGCGTGCTTTTTGGGCACGGTGCCATGCTGACCTCTCCCCTTTAATGTGTAGTGCCCCATGCTTCACTAAGGATTTTGGCAGCCTGTACACAGAGGCTGGCATTTGAGCCCAGTGCTTTGAAGATAGAAAAAGGTTTCAGCCTGGGAACTCATCAAACCACTGGCCAAAAGTTTATGTGATATATATATACACATGGTATTATTTCTCACTTCAGTAGAGCAAGTGACTAATCTGCTTATTTCTTTAGATGTCTTCTCTGATATCTTTGCCTCAAAAAAGTATAATATTCTCTTTCCATTCAAGAAAAATAATAGGTTAAGTCATACATACCACATCATGGGGTTGTGAAGGCTCATACTTCCTTATGTGAAAATACATACTTTCTTTAAGTGCAGCCCAGCCCAGACATTTCATGCACTAATATTTTCTGTCATCCTGCAATTGGTGATTGGAAGAAGAACCTATCTGCACCTCACCCAAGGGTGAGGTGTTCAGTAACCGTTTACACTTTTGTGTTATTCTGTTAGCAAGTTAATGTGTAGTGCCATAAATCATGTTACCTGGAAGCACCATTTACACATCCTCACTCTGAACCTCATTTTGAACTGGAGCCACTGAGAACTGTTTTCAAACTTCCTAGAAAAGCGTTCTCTGCAACAATGTTAGACAGTGTGTCAGTATAAACATCTCTACTTGATTTACCAAGCTTTTACTGAAGAACTGCCAAAGCAGGTGGCCAAATTCAAGAGCTGACATTTATAATACGAAGAAGTATAAATGAAAGTTATCTAGTAAACATTCAATAGTAAAGCTAATAAATGTGGAACAGTCTACGAACTGTGGGACTAAAATAAGAAGCTAGTTTTTTGAAAACTGCTTTCTTTTGTGTTTTGTGCCTTACTGTCACAAAACACCAAGTGTTTTGACTAACATTTAAAGATCTAAATACATGCAATATTGCTAATAATGCTAGTGGTATCAAACTGGACACATGTCAATTTGGGAAAACATTTTTTTTTTTTACAAGTCCAGCTTCCTCAATTTTTTGCAGCCCTGATGAACCTGCCAGTTGCCTTTTTTCCTAGCTTGGAATCTATTCTAGTTTCCAGAATTAGGTTTACTCACAGTGTTTCACTGCTCTCTACTGGAGAATCCCAAAGCCAGGCCACGGATCTGAGGCTAATCACTTGCAAGGAATGTAGGTGTGATGGCTCAGTTGATTAAACTCTCAGCCTCTAGAATTAAACTCCCCACAAGACTTATTTATGCATTTGTACATCTCAGGTCTCCAGCTATGTAGAGGATAAAAACAGGTTTCTCAAAGAGGAGGAAGAGTAAAGTGAAAATGTAATACCACCCCAACGCCAATTTCTTATCTCATGTTGCCTTTTACAAAGATTCACTATGCAACGGTTCACAGATTTCTCAAGTTATTTTTTCCTTCCACTTTTTATATGGTATATTTATAACAATATCCTCTCCATCCACAAAAAAAGGAAAATAAAACTTCTGACCATGCTATGTCAAATTTGAAACAAACTATAAAGGTTTTCTGCTTATATTTCTTTAGTATTTACGTACCTGAATGGAGAAAAAGGATCAAGACTTTATCAAGTAAGCAGGAAATGTGTTAGGACATTTTTTCAAAACCTCTCAATGCAGGAATAAATATTAATTTACTTCATTTGCATGAACACAAAATTGTGCCATAATTTAAATACTAAAAGCATGATTAGATGAATAATGAAAATATATATGTTAAGTATAAACATTTATGCATACACACACACACACACACACACACACACACACACATTGGTGGGAACAGGAAGTTAAGCTATAGGTATAAAACTCCTCCAGAATATTTTATGCTCTTTTCAATCTGGCATCTTTTAATTTAAAAACAACTTGATGAATAGAAATCATAAAAATCCAGCCTTACAACAGCATTAAAGTGCTATTCATTCTACAGCATTCCAAGTGAATTATTGCTGTGCTGTCAAAGAAAACAAAAACATTTGGGAAAGACTGTTTATTTTACAGTGGTTGACCAAAAGTATGCAAGTGGTTATAAAAAAAATGTAGACAGTTAACGATGGGAGGTGCCACTTGCACATTCTGAAATCCATTCACAAACCTTTGACACTAACTCTTGATTACTGGAGATAATACTAGGAGCAAAAGCATTTTCCAAGGGAAACCTATGCATTTTCAAAGCATTTCAGCTCACAAAAAATTAATAAATCCTCTCTCCACCATACTGTATTTCTGACATCTATCTCCTCATTCACAGAGCCTAATGACATGATTTTTTTCCCCAAGAAGAGCAAAAAAAATTTTTGTACAAATATTTCTCTCAAAAGTTATGACAATGAAATATTTCTGTGCTATGAAGTTCACGTTGCCCTTGATATTTAAAGATTAAAATATAAACTGTCATTGACAATATGAAGAGTTTTGCATTAAAGATTTCATCTTATAGCTAGATGGGAATTTAACGTTCCCTAACAGGGATCTTCATAGTAGAGATAGTAAACTGTACATTTAGAGACTATAAATAACTTGTAGAGATAGTAAACTGTACATTTAGAGACTATAAATAACTTGTTTAAGGTCTTCTGCATAGTACAGTAGTGTGGAGGACTGAGAATAAGAAATAAGAAGTTGGCATTTATGTTGTGCTGTTTTGCTTGAGAATCAGACAACATACACAGTCTGGTTTCTCCGAGTGAGTGCTTATTTAATGTTTAGGAATTTCACAATGGTGAAGAGAACCTTATTCCAGGACTTTGAGTCTTGAGGTTGAATTTTTTTTTGCTTTAAAAAAAAAATCAAGTTAGGATCCATTTAACCTTTTGGCAGATCACTGAATGTGTTTGTTTGTTTTTTGAGAAATGGGGATAATCATAATTGACTATATTTATCATAGGGAGAAAGGAAAAAGTTGATATTTCAGGCATGATCTTATCACATAAAACCGCTGAGTAAACATCAGTCAGAAGTATTCATTTAAAGAAAATGCTTCAGATTTCCTTTCTGTCCGTGCTAATACAGCTTGTTTTCTGGTTGGAATGTAGATTGTGGGGAAAAAACCCACACAGACATATCTTGGTGGTAGGGGAAATTGAGACAACTGACCAGCACTGCCAGGTAGAGCCGCACTGGCGGAAGTCTGGCTGTGCTCAAGCTCCAGCTCCAGGCGCAGAGTGTGAAAGAGGAAGCGGGAGCAGGCAGAGGGAGAAGAACTGCTTGTAGCCGCACCCCTACCTCGGCAGCTCCTCCTCCTTCTCCTCGTCTCCGAGGCTCTCCAGTCTGAGACTTTTGTGTCCTGTTGGCCCAAGAGACAGTAGTCCTTTTCCACAGCTCAGTTGTTTTTGTCTCCTAAACGAAACAGCATCAGCCTATTTTTCAGATGTAGTATCTGGGTGAATCACGTGCTTGCTGGCCAGGATGTGAAAGTACAACTTGGCTAAAAAACACTTAAAGGATTATGAAGCAATCTTGCTTAATAGTAGCGAAACAAAACAAAACACCACTCCAACAAATCCTCATGTGTGCTACTAAATTGTGGAAAGATCCAGTTATGACTGGAACTGTCCTGGCTAGAGTATTGTCCTAGACCCAGAGGGAGAGAGGAAAAGGGGAAGAGGGGGAGGAAACAGAGAAACTGGCAAAGGAGAGTCTGAGTCACCCTCTCTGCCTGTGGCTGGGCTTGCTGCAAACAGCCTCGCACAGCTTTGCTCCCGGCGGTTGCTAATGAGGAGCAGCCAGCAGGAGCAGCAGACTGGCGCAGGACGCCGGCTAATCCCAGAGCCGGCCTTCCGCGCATGCGCGGCGGTGATTGACAGCTTTCCTCCGGGCGAGGGAGCCTTCGGAGGAGGGTCCCCGCTAGGAGGCAGCTGAGGTCCTGGGGTCACGGTGGCACTTGCCGTCCAGCGTCTCCACTCCTGCCCCCGGGCGGTCAGCTGCTGCCCGGGACCTCGGAGCCCACCTCTGAGCATGCCCTCCCCGGCCTGGTCTGCCCTGCAGGGAGGGAAGAGAGCGTGGAAACCGCGGGTGACCGGAGCCAACAGCAACCTCCGTCAGTGCGCGCTGGGCAGAGGGCAGGCCCGCGGCCGGCTTTCTGCTGCTCCCCTGAGAATCACGCGCTGCTATTTCTGTGGCTTCTGCCAGTTGGCCCCTGCCCACCTTTTCTGTTCATACTGAAGCCGCCAAGAACGGAGGGAAAGAGGAAGCCTGGGCTGTGCTCCGGGCTGCCTGCTGCCAGCGCTGTGTCTGTAGGAGGTCCAGCCGCAAAAACAAAACAGGGCAGAGCCCCGGGGTGGCCCCGCCGGAGGAGCAGCTGAGCGTGGAAACAAAGCAGCCCGCCCAGGGTAGCACCAGAAAGCACTGGGATGTCCGGCTGAAAGGGAACCTGTGCTTTGCTGGGAAACAGAGCCCTGGGGAAACATTTGCACATAACTGGGCTGTGGATAAAGGGTGCCTCCTAAGGGCCCAAACAATCATAGGGTTGTTTGGTTTTCACAGCTTTGCCACAAACCGCTTAGTAACCCAGAACAAGTTACCTAATCCATTTTACCTCGGTTATCCCATCTGTGAAATGGGAATAGGAGCAACACCTGTAACAGTAGTTAAGGGAATTAGCTGGAAAAGTGTTAGGCAAAGCACTGGGTACAACACGCAGATAAGAGCCCGTATCTAGCCTTGGTTGAACAAGAACTGGAGCTAGAAAATGAAATAGGAAAGATTAAGAAATTGCTCAAAAAAGCTGATCTGGTGGGGAAGTTTTTCTTTGAAACAGCTGCTTTTTCATTAGAAGCACATTTAAATTAAAATCAGGCTGTTGACAGGATTTTGTTCAATTTTGATGTCAAAATGTTTAATCACATGAGAGATTCTCTAGGCCTCCTTGCCAGAGGAACCCGACCTGGGTTAGGAAGCAGGTTTGTGAGCCATGGCATCGTTCTGTCCAGACTCCCTGGTCCCTGCTCACCCCTTAGTGAATGTGTATCTGAACCTAATCTGTGTTCTAACACATCCTTAAGGACAAACAGTTGTTGTAGAGGCAGTAAATAATGCTGTCTTATGACCCATGCTTTTGTCTCCCCAGGTCCAGGGCTATGGAAGGGGTAAGGAACTAAGTTTAAAACAACAGTTACTCCAAACGTGCTTTCCATCCTGTTCTGACATTAACTGGTTGTGAATCACTGAATAAAAATAATGAGAACAACAATGAGCATTTGTTCAACCCTTACTGGCCGTCAGATCTTGTGCAAAGGACTCTATGTGTGTTATCTCACTTCCTTTCCACAACAACCCCATGGCATTCCCCTCCTTTTGTGATGAGAGAAATGAGGCTTAGGGAAGTTAAAGAACTTCCCAAGGTCACTCAGTTTAGTAAGCACTCCCTGGCTCTCAGCCAGGAGCGCATGTCCTACCTGCTCAGGAGTCCTAATCTAAATTTAAATTAATTTCTATGCATTGCTGTTTTTCACCTAGAAATTAAGGCTGAACATTATTGCCAAGACAACTTCTTTCAAAATTCCAAATGTTTCCAGAAAGGCACAGTTTGTAATGAACTGTCTTGCTTTCCAAGTAAATCCTGTTCTATTAAAATCAATGAGCTAGTTGTTCTTTATATATCCATGTACTGCTTAAGGAAAAAACTCAGGAAGAGATTGAAAACTGGGAAAAATTATCTCACGTGATAGTTTAGTGTACATACTTTCTCTGTGGGCTTTGGTAAAAATTAACATCTTTACCAGATTAACATGGTCAGTTGACAATGACTGATCTATTTTTGCTGACTTTATTTCCAAGACGTTCAAAAAATTGTCCTCAAAGTAAGCAGTCTGAAGCGTTTGACATGATGACTTTACTAAACAGTTTTTCTAAGACTTATTAAGGCATTATGCTTCTAAGTTCTCAGTACTTACTAGTATTCTTGAAAGTGTATGACTAGATATTTCTAGATTAATATATGCTAGTCACCACTACTTAAATGACCTTGGACAATTTTTTTATCTCTCTGTGCTTTGGGACCTGTGCTGTAGAATGGAAATGATAATGTAACTTCTTAGTATCATAAAGAATCATTAAGTGAATTAATTATGTAGAGTGATTCAAGTTGGATTGGCACATGGTAAGTGCCGTGTCGGTGTTAACTGATGGCATTAATCACTTGGCCTCCAAACTGTACCTTTAAAAAATTTTTTTCTAGTAAGTTTTTAAATCCTAATCATCCTTTCAACTGATTCTATTTCTCTTTACTATTCAGTAGTATAATTTGCTTCCTTCTTCCTGTCTGGTATACCTACATTATATTTACATAGAACATTTGCTCTATCAAGAAATTTTTCAAATTCTTATACTTCATTCTCTTTGTTACATACAGCAAGTTGGTTTTTATTGTTTATTCCTTAGAATTTTATCTGGAGAAAATTTTTATTTTGAACTGTGTTATAATGTGTCAGATTGTACTCGTCAAATTTATTTATTCTTAATTAGAAATTGAGGTAGGGTTTTCATCAAGGCTCTTCCCTCTTTCTTCTCTCTCTTTCTCTCCTGCCTCCCCCTTTCTTTTTTGATGCCCGAGAAACATGTTTTCAGCCAGTTTTGGTCATGATAATGGGATTTTAAATGACATCACGAGATACATATTTCTCAGATACAGAAGTTTGTTATGTTCTTTTGGCTGGAAGAGACTCTTCTTCCTGAGAAATTTAGTCACAGAATGCTGGGTTAGAGTTTATTAATATCCTTGTAGATTGAAAACAAAATGTTTTCCTTCTAAGTTTTTGTTCTTTTCCACTTGGCAAACCTGGTGATTTGCCACATGAGCTAATGTGTGTCTCATTCGTTTATTTTCTCTTCACTAGAAGCCCTGGTGATATCATCTGGAACGTGTACAGTCCCTGGGAATAAAAAACATGCTGGAGAGTAGCTTGCTTTGCAGCAACAGGATCACTTAGGCACCTTACAGCATACTCTTGTCTCAAACTAATTTCATTTTTAAAAAGTACTTTGTAAAACGGGTTGTCAGTCATGTATGCCCTGGTCCAAATAATAACCAGAAAAGGTTTGTATACCTAATGGTGAGCGACTGGAGTCAGAGTTTCAAAATTGTTTCACAGTGTTATCTGATGATAGCAGATACTCTTCCCATGAAAATATCTTCTGTTGCAAGTAAATTACTAGTTCAGCCTAATAAGCAAGAGATCATATTCTTGAATTCTGCTTTCATATGTAGTTTTTTTGCTCTGTATTCTCTGTTCTTAAAAAAATTATCGTAAGTAACTAGTACACAGACTGCAACCAGAATCATGGAAAGAATTTAGTTCGTGTACTGAGGCAGTACTATACAGCACAGAGATATTCAGAGAATGAAGTGTGAATTCCAGAAGCAAACTTTTGAGTTCGAGAGAAATTTCCAGAGGGAACTTCTCTACCCACTGGCTAAGCGTTCACTGGTCGTGGTTCCCTTTCCTCTGTGTCTCATCTTGAACATATTCCTGCTGTTTGAAACCAGACTGTATTGAACTCCTCCTTTCCTGTTTTATCCATTGCCTTTCCCAGGTCTCTAATATGTAAGGAGCACTCCCTTGAGCTGTAGGTCATGAAATTCTTGGGGTTGTTAATGGCTTTGAGCTTGTTTAGAAAGCAATGTGTGTTTCTCATGGCCCAAAACTTGTAGCAGGCCAGTTACCTCAATCTATTCATTTGGCATTTAAGTGACCCCTTTTCTACAAAGAGCTCATGATACAAATGGCCCCCACTCTGCAGTGTGTGTTATTTTGTGAGGAATTTCAAAGGCAGAGGGGTTCAATGATGATTTGCTCTAAGGCCAATTCAGTAAGCACAATGAAAACTTTAGCTATTTTTTGAAGCTGTCGTTCCATGAGTTGCTATATGGAAGAAGATTAACAAACTACTTTATATAGCACTTAGAATTTATGGAATTAAAAATCTGAAAGAACAATGTCCAGATAGTCAAAAATTAAAATAATTAAACAGTAAAGAGTCTTTGGAGTTCAGTCACTAGGATCCCTATAGTAAGAGATCTGTAGCCAATTTAGCTTGCTATGAATAAGCTTTAAAAAACAGTGTTTCAATTTATTATTCTAATTGTCCTTTCATTCCTTTGACTCCATGGTATTAATGTGTCTTTAGATCATCCTGTTAGTTTTTCTATTAGTGTTTCTTCTCAGCAGCTCTCATTTACACAGACACACATGTATGTACACACATACACACACACACACACACACACACAAACATACACACACCTATGCAAACTATGAGAAACAGTAGTTAGTGTTCCTGAAGTTTTTACTGCCTTTTTCCACAAGAGTTTGGGTGCATAGAGTGCAGTTTGTGAGTTGAGGAGACACAGATATTTTTCCTGTTTTCCCCTGTGATACTGGGGATTGAACCCATAGCCTTTGCGCAGTTACATCCCCAGACCTCCACCCACTTTTTCAGAGTCTTGCTAAGTCGCTAAGTTGCCCAGACTGATGTTGAATTTGTGATCCTTCTACCTTGGCTGCCCAGAGCGCTGGGATTACAGGAATGTACCACCAAACCCAGTCAGATATTGTCTTGAATAAAACTTTGCTTATACCTTTGATTCACTGGTGCATTCCCCAGATGAGCCGAGCAAGCTTACAGTGTGCTACCTCCTACAACAACCATGACATCAATACCCAGGGACAGTCCCCCCTTCTGCAGGTGCATCTGCTATGCTTTTCCCAATAGTGAGTATCCACATTAGCAAGAAAGTCTACATGCTCGATATGCTTTTGAATTTTATGACCTACTCTTAGATATACCACAATATCCAAAGCATTTATATTATATTATAGTATTTCTTAAAAGAAATATTCATTGTATCTACTTTAACCTCTTAAATCTTTTTTATTGCCTTTGCCACATAAACTCCAGTATCCATAGAGATATTTAAGATTTCTCTCATTTGAATTTTGGTAAGATCACTTGGTATAATTAATACAAGGTTATTGTTTTGTCTCAAATCACAGGAAAGACGAAGGAATTTTTTTACTACAACTCACACAAGCCTGGGGATACTATTAGCTGCCAGTATTATTTGGTATTTTCCCTTTATCTTTCCTAATAAGGTGACCTTAGCATTAAATTGAGGGTGTGTTGTAAATGTTTATAGACAACCTTTTACAGTAAGTATATTGCCAGGGAATACATAGTATATAAATATATAAGTATATATACTTGAGATTGAAACAGATAAATATTATTGAGTTTCAATTTCAAGAATGCTAACTGAAATCTCAGCACACAAGGCTAATAAGATGTGCAACAGAATATGCCAGGTTTATAGAATGGTGAATGAATTGGGCTGTGCTTTTAAAGAGGCAGTGGGTAATTGTTGACATATCTTAGCTTGGAAATGGATTAGGTCATGAGAAAGTACATATCCAGGCTATTATGAGAATATTTCTTTCTTGAAACAGCTCAATAATGTAGACAGTTTCACTGATGCAGAAACCAAAGGATAAAGAGGGTAAAGTAACCTACT